TTCGAAAGGTAGAAAAAGGGTGGAAGACAGTAACAGGACAAGAACAAGGTAACAAAGAACAAGGTACAAAGAACAAAGAACAAAGACAAAGAACAAGGTAACCAATAGAAAAGAATAACAAATATGATAGATAATAATCCAAGTGTATCAATAATCACTTTAGAGGTCAATGGTCTAAATGCGCCAACTAAAAGAGATCATCAGAGTTGATCAAAAACAGGACCCAACTATATATGCTGCCCAGACGGAACCCACTTTTAAGTATAAACACACATTCAGGGGTGCCTAGGGGGCTCAGTCGGTTAAGCAACTCTTGAATTCGGCTCAAGTCATGATCTCACGGTTCATGGAATAGAGCCCCACATCAGGGCCCTGGGCTGACAGTGCACAGCCTGCTTGGGATTCTCTCTCTCTCTCTCTCTCTCTCTCTCTCTGTCCCTCCCCTATGTGTGCACATGCACGCTCTTGCTCTCTCTCAAAATAAATAAACTTTAAATATAAAGACACATTTAGATTGAAAGTAAATAAATGAAGAAAAATATATCATGCCAACACTAATTAGAAGATTTTTTTTAAAGGGGCATTAGCTAACAATAAAGGGGTCAGTTCTCCAAGAAGACATATCAATCCTTAACATGTATGCACTAAACAAGAGAGCATCAAACTGTGTGAAGCAAAAACTAATAAAACTGCAATGAGAAATTTAAAAATCCACTATCATGGTTAGCAAGTTCAACACCCTCCGTCAGAAATGGACAGATCTGGCAGGCAGAAAGTCAGAAGGATATAGGTGAGCTCAACATCATAAGTCTACTGAATAGACTAATATCTATGTGCTTCTTCCACCACCAACAGCAGAATACACAATCTTCTCAAACTCACAGGGAACATTCACCAAGAGAGACCACATTCTGGACCACGAAACACACCTTAAGCAATTTGGCAGAGAGAAAATCATGCAAAGTCTGCTCTCAAACCACAATAGAGTTAAACTAGACATCAGTAACAGAGAGAGAGCTGGAAAACTCTAAAAGAGAACCGTCTGTGTGTTAGGGGGCCTGGGTAAGTCCGTTCTTGCGCAGACCACAAAGAGTCATAGAAGGCTTTAGATTAGGCAAGTAGCATGACTCAAAGTGTGCTTTGAGAAAATAAGGCTGGAACACATGGATTCGACTAGAGGAGAAAGAGAATGAATCTGAAGAGAAAACTAAACAAGTGAGAGACTCTAGGAAAGAGGTAAAAAAGGACTTAACACAGGGCAGTAAAAATGGAAAGGAATTGATTGAACATGAGAAATCTACATATAATGACATCCTAACCCATATTTACAAATATAAACTGCATATCCTGAATCTATCTACTCCTAACCATCTTTATTATTACACCTTTAGTCTAAGTCACTAACACTACTTAACTTGGGATACCACAAGACTCCTAGCTATTTTCTCAGCTTCCTTGTGGATCTCTATTCACCCCACTGCACAGCAGCCACAATGATCTTTTTAGACATCACACCTCTGCTCAATATTCTCCAATGGCTTCTCATTGCAACTGCAATAAAATCCAAACTCCTTACTGTGGCCTGCAGGACTGCTTGACCGGCATCTGCTTTCTCACAGATTTCCCCTCTTACATCGCTTGCTTCCAGCCGTACCTGCCCCCCTTTAGTTTCTCAAAATATTTTCACGAAGGGACTTTGCACTAACTGTTCCCTCTGCCTGGAATATTCTTTCCCTAGATCTTCACAGGGCTGGCTTTTAAAAATTTTTCACATCTCAGCTCAAATGTCATCTTCTCAGGGATGCCTTTTCTAATCACTGTTCCTAAAACAGCCATCCCTCTAACTATCCTATCACCCTGCTTTATTTCTTCACAGCAATTACCACCCTCCACAATCATCTTCTTTATCTATACATGCTGATTGTCTCACCCCACCCCCATCCCTCCAACACTAAAATGTATATCCCATGAAAGCAGGACCTTGTCTGTCTTATCCGCCACTCTGTTCCCACAATGCAAAGGATAAGCCTGGAACATAGCAGACATTCAGTAAACATACATTCCAAGAAACAGAATTCTTATCGCAGATGCTAGTGAATGAGTAACACTACATAACATTCACTGAGCTGTATTTCTTCCTTTCTTCCCCTATGGCATAATGAGGTGCTTTACAGACTGGATTGAAAACCTTGGATTTTAGATCATGTGGTGCCTTATAAAAAGAGCGTATTACCTAAAGTAGTATAATTATTCAAGCTATTTGGCTTTTATCATTAGGCAATTTGGTGGCTTAAAGTGAGATTGACAGTCTTACCATACAAGCTAAGTCATTTGCCATAGAATTTATACAGAGATGGCAAGGAGACTTACTTACTCTAAATGTGGAGGAGAACCATGGGAGAGGCTTCTGGGGAAGATGTGCAACCCCCTCCATTCTATGCTGTGAACTATAAGGTCTCCTGACTGCCGTCCCTGAATCTCAGGATTGCAAACTGAATTAAAATGTACCAGTGGAGACCAATTATAAGAAAAAAAGTCAGCCATATATGTGTTATACACACACACACGCCCAGTTTTATATGAAAAATACACAGAAGATATAAAACCAAATAGTTCTTGGGGCGCCTGGGTAGCTCAGTCGGTTAAGCCTCGACTTCGGCTGAGGTCATGATCTCACGGTTCATGAGTTCGAGCCCCGCGTCGGGCCCTGTGCTGTCAGCTTGAAGCCTGGAGCCTGCTTCAGATTCTGTGTCTCCCTCTCTCTCTGCCCTTCCCCCGCTCACACACCCTCTCTCTCTCTCTCAAAAATAAATTAAAAAAACATTAATTAAAAAAAAAATAGTTCCAAGAACACAGTTTTCAAGAAGTAACACTTTCTCACACAGCAAAGCAGAAATGTTTGCGCTAAGTAACCAAAATGATCAACAGGCTCTCAGTGCCACTTCCTATGTGGTTTGGCTGTCTGAGCTTTATTTTCCCCTTCTCTTTGTTTGTTTTGTCTTTTAGCCAATGTGGCCGACAGGGCCTCTGAGTGTGTGCTTCTGCTCAGTGCCATGGTGCCTCTTTTCATTTGGTAACAGTAGAAAGATTGGTCATAATCCTTCTTATTAGCCACTTTAAGCTGAAGATGTCAAAGTTTCTAAGATAACTGCCTACCAATGTTTTAAAAAAGGGATACCTTTACTGTTTGGTCAGCAATATATACCATGCATTTTGTTTTTAAGAGGTCTGCTTTATTGCCACTGATTATACAGTTACTTAAACTTGGTGAGGAAATTCATTCTTTTGTTTTTTCTAACAAATATTTGAGTGTCTTCTGAGCACCAGTATAATGGCTTTCTACTTTCTGAAACTACATACTAGAGGTCAAGCATTGCCACCCAGCTCCTCTGAGAGTAGTTTCCCTATTATCGGTTACTCCTTGGTTAACCAGATAACTCAGCTCATCAAAATGATCCCATACCTCTCACTCCCCAACCTGCCACCATTGCCAGTTACATACAGTTCTATCATACTCTGAACGTTTGTTCATTCATTCATTCTTCCTTCCTTTCTTGCTTCCTTCCTTTCTTCTTTCCTTCCTTTCTTCTTTCCTTCCTTCCTAACTTCCTTTCTTTCTTTCAAGTAAGCTCTAGGCCCAACGTGGGGCTTGAACCCACAACCCTAAGATCAAGAGTTGCATGCTCTACTGACTGAGCCAGCCAGGCACCCCTCCACTGATTTTCATTTTATTTTATTTTATTTTTTTAATTTTTTTTAACGTTTATTTATTTTTGAGACAGAGAGAGACAGAGCATGAACGGGGGAGGGTCAGAGAGAGGGGGACACAGAATCTGAAACAGGCTCCAGGCTCTGAGCTGTCAGCACAGAGCCCGACGCGGGGCTCGAACCCACGGACCGCGAGATTGTGACCTGAGCCGAAGTTGGCCGCTTAACCGACTGAGCCACCCAGGCGCCCCTGATTTTCATTTTAAAATAGAAAATTTGATTTGTCCAATATGTAGTATAATCTTAATAGCAGTCTATGTCATCTGATTATTCTGTGTTTGGGACCTAGAAAGAGATGAATGTCAGAGAACCAGAGGCCTTGACCTTGTTGTGTAATAGGTCTAGCAGGAACTGAACTAGCAGTGGGGTAGATGTGCAAAGCTGCAGAACGACCGGGAAGAAGGCACTAGGGATATCCATGACTCTGCAAATATGTGGCGTGTCCTAGATCCCGCTGGTTAGATCAAATTTACTAACATTTATGTAATTGTTTACAGTTTAAAGTGTAAACGTATCACAATACTACGTTTATTAATCTACAACAGTCCTTTGAGGCGGTTAACTATTATTCCCATTTTACAGAAAAGGACACTGAGGAGGAAAGACATTAGTTGAAAGTAATCTGCCTAAGATTATACCGTGTGTTGCTAGAACTTATCTTAGGACCTTTCTACACAAATTCCACGTACTTCCCACTACATGATCCAGCAAAATGAAGCCTAATATATAAAAGTTACAGATATTAACTATGTGCTAAGTAAACAACTCTTGCACGCGGGAAATACTAAGGAGACTGGGAGAAGAGTTTGTTTGCAAACCTGAATGATTTTGAGAGAGAAATAAGGAGGGTAAAAATAATAGTTGTCATTTAAAAAGTAATTTGGTTAGAAAGGGATTCAAAGGTGTAAAGCAAGAGACAAATTTGTCTAAGAATACTAGTACTATGACAACATAATATAACCTTAATCAGAGCACATGACTTCAAAATTGTTGAAAATTGAAAAGTGGATTAAATATTATTTTAAGATTATCAATATTTTAATTTATTTTTAAAAAGAGGAAACTGTATTTTAAGAATAGAAAATAATCGTTACTACCAAAAATGGCCAAAAAAACTTTGTTTTTAACACAAGGAAAATACTGCATTTAATTAGAGCTTCTCTACGGATTTTGTATTTTGCCCAAGTTACAAAGAGATAACATCAATTTGTATCACTGAAAGTTCTACATACGTTCTTTTGACATCTTGTTCAATCATCGATCGAAGTTCTTTATCTTGAAAGAATTTGTTCCAAAGACTCTGAAATAAGGAAAACAACCTATTTAAAATAATCCCACATCTTTGCTTGACTTTTATGATATCATTTAATAATTTAAATGATCAAATTTATCCTTCTCTGAGTTATCATTTCACATTGCAAAGGAAACCTGAAATTGGAATAAAAATATTAAAAACTAATCTCAGAAACACATTCTTATACTAACATCAATTTTTCCAGTGATACATATATATAGTATGTATGTATATTTAAAATTTTGGAATCATCTATATAAAATGAATGATAGCTTTACTGCCATACATCCACTACTTCCCTTACAAAAACAAAGAGGTTCTGCTTGGGTTACAGCAGGGCCATGGACCAACTGGTCTCAACTTGAACCTCACTTGAACTCCCAATGCACTAAGAAAGACACAGGAGTTTTTCTACAAAGCTTGGTTTCATGACCAGATAGATGTTTAGATCTACCTAAACATCTACTAAAATGTGAATTTAAGTAAAGTTTTAAAACTTACTTAATATTTTATGTAGCTCTCCTATAGACTATGTTGTAACAACTATATGTATCAGGAAAAAAAAGAAACACTAATATTAGGATATTAGCTGGAAAATATTTTCTGTTAGCAGGGAAACAGGAATTAAGAGCAGTGACCGAAGAAGATACACAATACCTCTAAGGCAGTAATTATTCTTAGTCTTCACTGGAATATGAGTGGAGACAGGCTGGCTGATCTTTTTCATTATCTTTAAAAACTTTTTTTTTTTTTTT